ATATATATGCGCATGCGCACAACGCAACACGACATGCACAATTTACGTCCAATGCGGTTATTCATACCGCGCGTTTCAAATGTAAAATGTGACCTGTGTGACGATTGTCCGGGTACCTATTAGTATAACGAAGCAAGTACTATTAATAAACGTGGACTGGTAGAAATTTACTCCGCAAACGGGTTCAAAGGGTCAATGATGTAACGCTCGATCGTTCAGCGAACATGGCTCGCCGTCGTTTTGTATTGCAGCGTTTTAAGCGTGAAATATTGATTGTAGGATACGCCACGCTCTTGTCGGAACACCCGTCCGCATGCGGGAAATGGTGCTACCGCTCGGCTACGTTACGCGAACGCGAATGCAAATGCCCATCCTCATTAACCATGCAGACTTAACCACTCTGTTGAATTGGACTGGGAAGTCTGGCTGCGCCGTTTTGTCGGCATGCTGCACTTAACCAAACCTACTGCCCCATCGCGCTGGCCCAAACCTCGGCAAATGCGACGCGGGAAGTTGGCGGCTGGACAAGCCGCCGATGAGCACGGCCCGGCCTGCCGACAGGCGGGGCTAACGCCCGTGCCGGCGGCCTTAGATTGCCGCGGGCCTTTCAGCCGACCGCCCGCCATGACTTTCGGGAACTTTCCGAATGAGCTGCGCGGGCTGGCGTTCTGGGCTCGGGTGCATCCGGCGGCAGGCTTTCCGAGAACGGTCTGAGTCAACAGGGGCCTGAGACGACCCATGTGGCGCCGCAGTGGCCAGCCCGGCACACAAAGGCACGGCCGCCGCCACTCCGGCGGCAAAGCTGGCCGTCAGACCGTCGAAACGCGCGTCGGTATTGGAACCAAACATGGCAGCGCTACTCTCCCAGTGTGTGCGTGTTCTAGGGGCTGAGGCTACGTCTCATGGCACGTCATTTCATATGCAGCCGGCGTGTCAACTGCTGTCGCGACATCTCAGGGACCCCTACGCGAGAATCGTGAGGATCTGCCGTGGGGACGTGGTTTACTGTTTAGAAGGGGCGGGCGAAGAGAGCTGCAGGCCAAACTTTGGGAAGAGAGTGGGTATCGAATCCGGGGAGGAATACTTTTTGTTGCAGGTTGGGTACGGTTTAGCCAGTTTCCCGCTTATTCCCCCCCCCCCCCCCAGGACTTATTTTGCGAAAAACTGCGTCCCTGATTCGCCCTTACAAAACGAAACCTGTGCCGGAACAACGATCGATACAACAACCGCCTGCCAGGCGTCACGAAGTCTAGACACCCTTTATCGCCCGCGGGCTGCACGGCGGCTCACTGGGAAATACAAATACCTGGCCACTTTTACTCCCCACCGGCCATCAGAACTACTCATGCGCACGCCCGGCATTGTTGGGCGGGGTGCCACGATACCCGCGGGAATGACTTACGTCGCGCGGGCTTTCCATCCGCCTGCGGCAATTTTTACAGCCTGGGAGGTGTCATGGCCTCCAAGGGACCTCACAATGCCCGTGGGACGTCACACCTGCCTATTCTGAGACCTCACAACATCAGAGTGGGGTTACACCCCGCACCCCCGACCCTGACCTCAGGTCCTCTCAGGCGACATCACCGCTTCCGGGCGCCCCAAAGTCCCGGGGGCGGCAGCAGCCCGCGCGGCAACGTTTCCGGAGCCAAGGTGGCGCTGCGCCCGGCCGGCTCACGCCGCAGGCTCCGGAGCCGGGGCGGCGCCGGGGCCGGCCGGCTCACGCCACTGGCTCTCCGGTGGTTGCGGCACGGCGCCGGCTAAGCCGTGCCCGGGCCGAAGCGCGGACGTGACCCGGCAGTCACGTGTCGCCGCTGGTGACAGCTCCAGCCCGGCCCCTCCGCGCCGGCGAGTGTGGAGCGTGGGGGACTGTGCACACCCGGGCAGCGCCGCGACGTGATCTATCGACTGTGAGAAACGAGACCCGATCATTACTCAATCTCGCGAAGAGAAGCTGCAGTGGGCGGCGCGTTTTCCGTGACTTGCGCGCTACAGCCGGGGCGTCAGCGGACGGCGTCGTGTGGGATGACCCGGCCCTGTGACGGGTCTATCTCACGCCGCTGGGTCGTGACGGCGAGGCGTGACGGGAGGGCGCGTCACGTCACGCCGGGCGGCGCTCAGATTATTGCGGTCCCCTAGAGACCTGCCACCGGCGCCGGCAAATACTGACGCCAATCAGCGAACTCAATTTGGCTCGGATTGGATCATTTAATTTCCGGAACGGCCGGTCTTGGTGGAATACGCGGAGCGGCGGTGCGGGGCACGATCCGGCGGCGAGCTGCGGCGGACGGCAGCAGTTGTGGATGCGTCTGCGGCAGCTGTGTGAGTCTGCTGGTGACAGGCCATCGAGAGCCCTCCCTGCCCACGTGCAGCTCGCAAGATAAGACCGGCGATCGATGTCAAAGCCGGCTCTCCACGCGCAGTCCTCTGCATTGTCCTGCGCTTGACATCAATCTGAGAGCCGTTTGCCAACGGGGGGGGGGGGGGGGGGGAGAGGAGAGGGGGGCGGGGGCGGAATGATGCATGTTTGTACAAGCCCGCATTGTCGCCGGAATCGATCAAGCCACCGGTCCCCCGCGGCTCGCCGCACTCCGCAGCAGCAGGCCGTTACAATATGGCCGGGCTGGGCTGGTGATGCATAGGGCCAGCGGTCTGTCGGGGTAATTCCGGGGAGTCCGTTCAGGTTCGTCGCACACACCGATGACGTAAAACGTACGCGGGATGTGGGCGTGGATGGGGGAGGTCTTCAGTCAGCGTCCGCGAGTCG